GTGTTTTGGGCTCCAAAATTAATCACAACTAGTGATAAGCTGTGTCAAATATCTGATATAGAATGCTGTTGGTGATAAGCCATTCTTTCTGGAGAGTGCAGCTACACGTCTACTTTTCCATTATGGTTTTTTATATATTTTTTACAATAAGCATGCATTTATTACTTTAAAAAAGAAAGTGAACAAATGATATTCAGTATGATTACATTTTGTGGCAAGATTCTGTATTTGTGCACATAGAGAAAAAGAGTTGAAGGAAGTGTATCAAAATGCTAATAGTATAGTTACATGAGGTAATAGGTAACTTTCTTTTATGATCTTCTATATTTCCTTTTTCTGTACTATACTTGAATTCTGTGTATATATGTATTTATACATGGGAAGTATAAAAATTACTTTTATAATTAAAGTCATTATGAGTATTTTTTTCAGATAGCAGTTAGGATGTTCTTGATAAGCTGAGAAGAGTATGAAAACAAAGTCCAATTTGTAGTATATTTGTAAAATAAATGAGGAATTGGGGACAGTGCAGAGGGACTATTGAGATTATAAAAGGGAGGGAGAGAAAATGGTATTAGCCTAGGGGGATACACAAGATCAGTAGAGAGGTCTGCCCCCCACCCCTTTTTTCTGAATGGGAAAGACTTTAATAATTTTATTCTGAGGAAAGGGTTAGGGAAGAGAATGTTTGAAGATAAAGAAGAAATGGGAAAACTAAGCAAAACCTCTGAGTTGTAAAGGTATGGATGCCAGTTAGACCCCAGGTAAGGCATTAATCTCAGACAAGCAGGACATCATCTCTAAATCAGAAGAGAAGGATGTGGGTGTATGGGTGTAGATCCTGATACTTTTATATGTGGGAGGAAGATTTATCTTAGTTCAAGCTGAGAGTGTTCAGCAGCTAGCCTCAGTTTTTCAGTGAAATAAGAAGCAAGATCATTTCATTGAATTGAGACTAATGAAGATGAAAAAGGTTGGGAGGAACTAAGGGGAGTTGTGATGTTACCTAAAAACTTTTTTTTTTGGCTTGGCTAGGACCCTTTCCTAGTCTTCACAGTATCTATTCCATCTAAGGCTTCTGCTCGATTTCTAGATGCAGAGGAATCACTTGGCACGCCATCTACAAGAGAATACTCAGTCACACATGAGAATGTTGGCCCAGGCTGTGCAGAGCTTAAGCCTTGCTTTAGCTCCCATGCCTCCCATACGTGATATGTTTCCATATGATTCTGCCCCTGTGTCCCGGGCTTCCTCTGGATGTCACCCAGAGGTCGAGAATTTCCATGAAATCATTCAACAGTTAGAGGGTCGCCTTGTAAGACAAGACCATCAAATCCGAGAGCTGACTGCTAAAATGGAAACACAGAGCATGTATGTAAATGAGCTCAAACGAACTATTCGAACACTTGAAGACAAAGTTGCCGAAATAGAAGCACAGCAGTGCAATGGGATTTACATCTGGAAGATTGGTAACTTTGGGATGCACTTGAAATCTCAAGAAGAGGAGAAACCTGTTGTCATTCATAGCCCTGGATTCTACACAGGCAAACCCGGGTACAAACTGTGCATGCGCCTGCACCTTCAGCTTCCAAATGCCCAGCGCTGTGCAAACTACATATCCCTTTTTGTCCACACAATGCAAGGGGAGTATGACAGCCACCTCCCTTGGCCCTTCCAGGGTACAATACGCCTTACAATTCTTGATCAGTCTGAAGCACCTATAAGGCAAAACCATGAAGAGATAATGGATGCCAAACCAGAGCTGCTTGCCTTCCAGAGACCCACAATCCCACGGAACCCAAAAGGTTTTGGCTATGTGACTTTTATGCACCTAGAAGCCCTAAGACAAAGAACCTTCATTAAGGATGATACTTTGTTAGTACGCTGTGAGGTCTCCACCCGCTTCGACATGGGTAGTCTTCGGAGGGAGGGTTTCCAGCCACGGAGTACTGATGCAGGGGTATAGCATCCTGGTGTTCGTTCAAAACAAAACCAAAAATACCCCATCTGGAGAAAACAGTGTCTTTCCGTGCCCTGTTCTCAATAATATGCAAGCAAGAAAAGCAGTGGGGAAGATGTACCCACCAGTGAATGTTGTTAGAGAGATCACTTACCACTTCTTCCTGCTACACATACCTGAAGCAGTTTTTTCTTGGGAATCTACATGTTCCATGCTTTTTCAGAAACTGAAGTGCCTGTGGCCAATTGCACCAGCTGTTGTGTCAGTTAGTATACCTCTTTGTTGTACTTTCTGGGCTTTTGCACCAGTGTGTTTTACTGGCCGAAAAGCCCAGGATTGGAGTGAAAAAGCTCAAACCTTTTAATAATGACGTTCCTTAAAACTTTAGCTTATTTTTGTAGTATTATGTGTAATATATTAAACTTGAGAATCACTACCGCCTTGTGCTGGTGCCAGCAAGGAGTTAATTACTTTAGAGTTCTCATTTTTTTTGACCTCCTATAGGTTTCAGATGATTTGAACCTTACTACTTGGAAAGCTTAAGTTCTCATTCACCCCATTCCCCCCACCCCCTGGGATGTAACTAAAGATATTCAGAAACTAGTTTAAGCCCTAAATATAACCTCACTCAGTGAACATGTATCTGTTGGATCGTTCTTGTTTAAGTGTTTCATTCTACTTCACTTACATATTTCCTTGAGGCAATGAAGTAGCATCTTCATAGTTCAGGATTCTGAGAATCATGCAGAACCAACTGCTTAGTGTTATGCTTAGTGTTATGCTATAAATTTCTTTTTGCCTATTAAGTGCAGAGTGAATTCCACAGTCTTGCAAGTTCTCTGTTTCTTAATGCTTGTAGGACTGGGAGATACACACCAACATAGAATTAAACATGTCTCAACTAGTCAACCAATGTGGCATCTCATTGGTGATGACAAAAGCTAATGAGCCAAAACCTTTCAGCTCTTTTGACACGCTCTGGTTTAAGTCATTTAAATGGAACAAAATTAATTTCCTAGAAGCAGAATTTCTTAATACTTGTGAGATCACTGGGGGGATACCTGAGAGGTCACCAAACTAAGGTTGGAAGGTGGTTATATCAGGACTTAGCTTGAATAGGTTGCTTTAGTCCAACAATTCATACTTGAAGAGGGTCTTGTGGAATGTATTCAAGTGGCTAAATGTCCCTAGTTGGGAGAGATTATGTTTGTGCAATTATATATTTTTAAAGGCCTATAGATATTTAATATGGTGAAATCTAGTTCTCAGGGAGTCCCACAATTACTGTAGGCACTTATAAAGAATCTAAGAAGACCCATAACACTTACACAAGATTGTTTTAAAGTTGTCTGGTCCTGAGAAGTGGTATGGTATTTCCAGAGAGGGCAAAATCAGAATCCCTTGACGAGCATTCAGAATCAACCTTAATTTCAAGAGGAAGCTGAGAGACCTTGTCTACAGAGAAGAATGGTTGGGATTTCAGGCAGACCCAGCAAGTGTGACTTTGACCTTTTCCTTCACTTTTCTGTCTACCCTCATTCCCCAGCTCCAGCTCTGGAGGGTTTATGTTATAAAGTGAAAGTAAAGGTCACACGGAGGTCCTGTCCCCAGCACCATTTGCTCATTACTAGTTCACAGTTTGTTCCCTAGCAATTTGTGTCTCTTAGCGACTATGCTTTCCAGCTCATGAGAAAGGGTCACTGCAGAACCAGCTCTAGGTAGGGAACCCAGCATTGCTGCTGTTCCTGAGATTGTTCTTCAATGAGTAATTGTCAGGATCTATTTAAAAAGTAGATGGTAGTTATTTTTATTGAATAGAAAAAGACTAAAGGAAATATACTAAACTATTTTTGATGACTTATTTGTGCTTTCTTAATATGCTTTACAATTTCTACAGTAAGCATGTACATTTATCAGAGAAAAAAATTGTTGGCACAAAACATTCAACTCCAGCAGAAAAGGAAATGCTATTTAAAAGCTTCCTGGTCAATTTCTATTAAAAGCATGGCTGTGCATTAAGTACTGAGGCGAGTCATTTCCTGCTTTGGTTATGTTATTTTTTTCTAACTCAGGAGTCTTAATCCAAACAAAAAGTTTTTTGCCTAACTTCAACTTCTAGCTCCAGGTTTCCATGTGTAAAAATGAGTTGAATCAGACGTTTCTAGGGTCCACTCCAACGATAAGATTCTGTTTTAAGAAATTTAAGTCCTAACCAGCAGAGCAGTGACAATATTTACTAAAGGATTTTACCAGTAGAAAATTGCTTTGCCTTATTTTTTGCTGACAGAATACTTTACTGCAATTCAGCATCCATCAGCTGGGCTCATCTTAATTCAAATAAGCAATTTTTTTAACCCCCAATATAGGCATTTTGTAATGAACCAGCCATTTATTTTATACTGGTCATTGTGAATATGGAATAAAGGTAATGGTCAACGACTGTCATTCCAAATAGAAGCTTTTGTTAAGACTTCAGCACAGAATCAAGTGTTACCTAGAAAGCTTTTCTCCTTTTCAAATCTTCTCTGTCCCTCTCTGAAACATGCTAGGTTTACCCAGTTGGCTTATAAATATTTGAGCCATGTATTTGCTATTAACCTTTTAACATATTTATTTTGACATCATTCTTGAACATAGCAAAATTGCTTCCTCTTTGCCTAGAGATGTCCAAGCCAATGTTGCATGAAACTTGCTGTAAGTTTTGCTATTGGGAAACAAGTCAGGATATTGATTTGTAGTTTGGTAGTTTTGTACTGTCCTTTGGCTGTTGCAGCAGTGATAGTTTCTGGTGGTATTACAATATAATTCAGTTTTTATTTTGGGGATGAGTTAAGTGAAATAGAATGAAAGGTGAGTTTTTTCCTCTAATGATGGACTAATATGGAAATGTTGGATCATCACTAATAATTTATTTTGTGATAGGTATAAAATTATTTTTTCCCTTACTGTTTCTATACTAGTAAGGCTTAGATAAACCAAGAGCATGAATTATGAATTACGCATGCAATTAAAATACATTCATTCCCCTTAAGGAAGAACAGTTGCTTGTCATTTCTTTATCCAGAGAATCCTTAAGTCTCTGGTGACCAGAAAACATTTTTTATTATTACAGAGGCTTTTCTAATTTAAGACATTGAAGTACTTTTCTTTTATTCAGTTACTGCTGCTCTTTTCTTGGCTTGCTTCAGTTAAATTCTACTCATTGTTTTATATAAAAAGCATTAGGTGTTTTTTGTGATGCCTAGTTCAATAACCTAAGCAATGCAGTGCCTTAAGGAAATGAAAAATGGACAATATATAGTTGTATTTTTCTATTATAAAACTTTTTAATTCCCAGGTTCCCCTGATAAGCTGTAGTTAGTTACACAGTTGCTTTTCTTGCATCTATAGAATCAAGTTGGCACTTCCAAATAGGCAGTTTCCAGGAAGATGATCTAATTAGATCAATTAAGATGAATCAGGTTGTAACATTCAATTCCAGCTTTCACCTTAAGTCAAAGACAAACACTTGCAAGGAGATTGCCTAGTTGTTTCGTTAGATGTCACCTAAGCCCTTAATATTTTTAAAAAGCTTCTTCCCCCACAAAAAAAATTCAAATTGTTGTAAAATTTAGAAGACTGAAAAATAATTGTAAATGAGTAAAACACTAGGTGGAAGGAGGAAATAGGTGCTCCTTTTTCTCAAAGTGCTTTCTTGGCAGGACACGAGCTCTGCCTTTAGGATGAGAGGAAAGGAGAGGCTCCTTCTGTTCTCTCAGGACTTGCAGCTCTGAGTGCAGGTGCTATCCCGCCCCCAGATAGTCACTGAAGACAGCTGCCATGCTGCTTCCAGCCATTTTCTCTGAAAGGGAGTCCTGGCATCAGAGCTTCCTTGCCTCTGCTGACTGCATGTATTCCAACCTTCTCCCGGGTAGATTTCAGGGTAAAAGCGAAAGTGCCACTGGAAAGCAGGGCATATGTTTATTCCAAGAAGGAATGCTGTCAGTCCTGGATATAACACCGTCATAGTCCTCTGCAACCCTCAGGAGAATGTAAAATCTGAGGGACAGGGATGCTGTTCGGTTCACTGCTGAAACCTTATACTTAGCACAGTGCCTAGCTAATAGTTAACACTCAGGTATTCCATAGTGATCATTTAATGAAAATACTGATTGAAGCTGACCAATTTCTGGTAATTAATTAGTCATGTAAGTTATAGGTTGTGAGGCACAGTTGTTACTTTTTCTTGCTTTTTTCCCCTGAGCACTTTATTACGAAGTTTTTTAAATATGCAAAAATGTTGAAAGAATTGTGTAGTGAACATCCACCACCTAGAATCTACAAATATTATTTTGTTAAATTTGCTTTATCACTTAACAGATGTAACTTTTAATGAGACTTCTTCAAGGTTGGTGCCAGCAAGGAGTTAATTACTTTAGAGTTCTCATTTTTCTTAACCTCCTATAAGTTTCAGAGGATTTGAACCTTACTACTTGGAAAGCTTAAGTTCTCATTTATCCCATCCCCCCCCCTAAATCTCACTGTTACAATAATGGAACAGCTTTAATCAAGTTGTCTTAAATTCTTTGGGAGAAACTTGTGATATTTGAGTTACAGCTGAAATTGTAATTCCTTACTTTAAGCTAGTTATAAGCTTGTAAATCTGTTACACTGAATTTTAATTTTATTTTGCCTGAAGGGATTTTTTTATAATGGATTTATTTGAAAGTCCTTGATCAATTGTGCAAAATATTCTAATGTTATTTTCACACTTGATAAATTATTCAGTTAATTTCTCTGGTGAAAATGTAATTTTGGGCCCATTTTGCTTACATGAGGTTCCAGGATTATGTTCCCAGAGGGCTGAAGAGTCAGTGTAATTTAGCATATGAACTATTAAATTAGGAGGTGAAATTTAGATTTTACTCCTGACTGACCATGGGCAAATCAGTTCTCTTTGTCTTTGTGTCTGTATACCTACCTGTATAGTAGAGACTAGAATTTGAAATTTAAATATTATTAATAAATGAGTAACATTTATTAATGCTTGGATCTGTTAAGACACTTTATGAGTCCAAGGAGGCTCTTAAATTCTGTAACTATATGACAGGCTATGGAGTGAAATCTGCCTTTGAAAAATTGAAGCACATGCAAAATCAAAGTGTCTTACCAAAAAGTCTGCTATTTAGGATTACCATGGAATTTGTGAGCAGTTTTTTCCTAATCTAATTCATCTGGACTCAGCAAGTGAATGCATGGGAGGATGGAGACACTAATCACAGAAAAACTGAGAATCAGCATTCAGTTTAAGAGCAGGTTGTATGGAAGGAAGAGCTTAGAGGAACTGGCCAGATTCACTGCACATACCCTCACTGCTCCTCTGACCATTGCCACACACAATGCAGAAAACAAGACCTGCTCCTGCCCACAGCTCAGCCTAAGAAGGTACCATCAGATCGACACAGACCACAGGATTTACCAAGGGATGAGAAGGGTACTCTACTTACCTAAGTGTGACCCGTTCTTTCTCAAGCCAGGTTATGAATGCAAGTTCACATTTATCTCAAAAAAACACCTGGAGTTTTTACTTTAGATCATGTCTTGGTGGTGGTTTCAAGAGTGTGAACAAAACAGCATTCTTTGAATGGTACCTTATTGAAT